TAAGTTATAATTATATAAAATAAGTTGGCGACCAAAATTTACGATCTGGCGACCAAAATTTTTCCGTTAGTCGCCAGCTGGCTCCCGAACAAAAAAGTTTATTTCGAGCCCTGTTCAATATACTTTGAATTATTTTCCGTATCACAGACATGTTTTTGAATGTACAAATTAGTCACGCTTTGTAGTCACGACCACCTCCAATTCGAATTTCATCTACTTACCCAAAGTTTTTACTCAGTTGACTCCAAAACTTTTTAAGGGGAAACTTGTCTTCAGAAAAAGTCGAAGAATTCATTTCGGCCAATTTTCAAGTCTCTGAATGTTATTGTCAGTTTTTATACTGACAAGCTGTCCAAGCGGGATATTTCCCGAGGTTTTCTGGGAAACTTGATATGCGGGAAAATACGGATTACACGTGTGAGTAAGTGAGTGAAGACAAACGTATGTAAATTTGTCGATTTTCAAGTGTAAAATAATACCTGACTTAATGTAAAGGTCCCCTTTCTGTTGCTAGTATCAAGTTTACATTCAATTGATTTTCACTTTTAAGCCATTCGAATTTGCAACCAACATTTTGGCAAAGGGTCTACACTGAAATACCAAAATGTCTCAAATGTCTCTTATATTCAATTTCTAAAAAAAAATTGTCCAACCAGACTGGCTTTTTGTCAGGTCAAAACTTGTCATTGGCCTGACAAATGACCTGCTTATAGACAAAAATTATTTGCAGGCTTGCAGCACAATTTGGAATGAAATGTCATGTACCAGTCTCGTTAAAAAAGACATAAAATCAACATTCAAGTTTGAATCATAAAGTTCGAATAATGTTTTTGGTTTAAATACTGATGAATACCTATAATCACTTGAATACAACAGAATAGAATATTGAAGCAAAGGACGATGTAAATGAAGTCACTGAGTTTAAGGCTTGCCATCTTATACTGTAATGTATAGTTCAAGAAAATATCGCTACCTTCCCCACGGAAGGAATTTCTTTTAAGACCCCACCCCACCCCTCTGAAAGTTCCAATTAAGCTTGATACATATCTTTAAATTTTTTAGTCTTCCAGAGCCCCCACACCCAGGAAATTCTAATCCTTTCTATGGGGGGAGTATGGATATTTTCTGGAACTGCACAATCTCTTACCGTTTCCCAGGAGTTATGGAGATAACACCATCAGATTCTTCATTAGACAACTTCCTGCTTGAGGCCGAGTCAGTTCTTTTTGGAGACCGCGCATGCTCTTCGATTACTGCGAATTCATCTCCTCGGCTCTTACTTGAGATGCCATTTGGTTGAGGGTGGTCTGGTGCTGAGGCATCAGCCACTGAGAGGCCAAGAATAGATCTGACACGTGATGAGCGCACGTCTAAAATAGTGTCTGTATAGCCAACTTCTTGAAGGTATCTGTCAGAGAATTTCAAGCAACATATGTATTATAATTTTATTCAAGCATGACAGTTGAGCTACCAAATTTGCCATTAATAAACTAAATGCGATTTTGAGACTTGATTACTGCATTGTATTGGAGGCTAGCTGGGAAAATAGACGTGCAAAGCTTCTAGAAAATTAAACACAAGACTTACTGTCGTAAAAGTTGTCGACCTTGCCGCCAGTTCATTCCTGGTTTTGTGTTATTTGTGGTGCCATCTTTGTGAGATTCTTGATTTACATTATCTTCCTCTTTGCTCACTTTTTCTGGCGACACATCTGTACCATATTTTAATCTATGATATTTTGCTCTGTAAGAAACAATGTCCAGAACAATGATGTTAAATCAGAGATAAGCTTCAACACACTTAGCAAAATTGTATATATCACCCTATTCCATTTAAAGTTACAGTATACCTTCAGGGGTGTCTCGCGTGCAAGCGATGTGGCGAGTGCAGTTTAAGCTTTGGATACCTAAAACCCTATATCAAATTAAAGCTTATGGAGCTGGCTATCAAACTATACCAAGAATTTTGAAAGAAAATGAATTGTCGAATTTTTCACGACC